AAATGATGGCAGATCGTCCACTTCCGTATTTGAGAGCGAATTGTTAGCATTTGGCGTAATAATGTGCCTTTGTATCTTAATGAGTTACCTAATGAGAATGCTGTATTTTACAGACAGTAAAAGTTTGAGTACTGTCTTCAAATTTTTTTCATGTATCATATTCTACAAATACCAACAATGTTAAAGCCAAATTAGATTTATTAAAACGTGTGTTATACCAATTTAAAACTGTTGCCTTCTCATCTTCTCCAAACAACTAGTTTTGACTTTATGTTACTTATAATCATCGCAATGTCGTAAACATTTAATTGTAATAAGTTTCTTGGATTCTTGTTTAGGATATTTTCAGATTACGTTATAATTATAACATATTATAAAGATCGTGTTATTTTGTAGCACTTACTTCATTATAAATACATGTACTCTCTTAACACTGTATTACTTTAAGAAATGCACTTTTGATCTATACTACGAGCAATTACATCAAGAATACTGGGGGACAGAGGGAAGAAATCTCTAATATATTAAAATCAAACATAGTTAAATGTAGTCTAGTTATTCAATAGATTACATCATAAAAATTCAACACAATATAAAACATAACAACAGAAAAATAATGAGAAATAGATACTGTCTATAGTTTACGCGAGTAGTACACACTTAAATAAAACACTTTAACGGTCTCCCCGTGACCACGGCTGCTGCAAAGCATCCGAAACGTCGGGCCGAAGTTAAAAATCATTTTCAAATAAGTTTAATTAATATATCGCGTTTTAAACCGTTAAAGTGTTTTATTTAAATGAGAAATAGTTTAGTTAAAAATGGGTACTTGAAAATGTCCAGCTTTAGATAAAATTAAATTCGAATTACCCTTTTTAATACAACAGATATAATTGTAGACACTTTGTTTTGCCATCAGTTACATGCTATCTTACCTAGCACTATTATACTGTAGCGTGGTTCAAAAAGAATTTAAGTCTTGTAAGTTTCTAGTTTATCTTTTGTTAGACGCACACCATAGTGGAAGGTAAAGTAAGCAAAGTCTTCCACGTCGACATCATCAATTATCTACATCACCCCTCCCACTGAAGACTTCTTGCACTGAAACACAGACACGCCTCACATCCGTTTCAAAACCTTGCGTCTAATGATTAATGTAACTTAAATGGCACGAAGCAGTTGGCTGGATGATTTTTGATAAGTTCATACACAGTGCATTTGCATTAATGAAAGAGTTACATTTTTGAAGGAGAAAGTAAAGTACGTGTATTAGTATGATATCTTAATATAATGATGATAATTACAAAAGCGTGCTTGCTATCTATAATGTCAATTTGTATTTCTTTTTTAATTTGAATGTTTTGTACCTAAAAGTGAATGTGTCTTTTATCTTTCACCTATAGTCTCTTGTCACACAATAATGCATTTGTTATTGGCCTTAATTTTTTATATACCAAAACAATGTATTCATTTTATAAAGTAGCCGCATTTAGTATTGCAATTTAAAAAAATCAAAATAGTCTTCGAATACCGTGTAACACCGACCAGTTTAAACTCTATTTTCCCTATAATTTATCTTCTATAGTCTCATAGGATACAAGTCTTAATTCTTAATAATTAAGTATCTCTATAGTATTCTCAATAAATTTATGTTTTAGCGTTTAATACCATATAAAGAATTAATCCTAATGCAAATGACACTTACCTTATTCCAGTAAGTAAGAATTCACGTATGGAATGCGCTACAAGTCATTGTTGCTTTGTTTATTCTTGCACAATCGTAGCCAGATAGCGCTGCAGCGCTGAAAACAAATTGAATATAAGCGTCCAAGTTTATACCCCGTTTATATTGCACAGTTTACGACTGAATGTGCGTGTTATTTTGTTTTATGTAAGAATTACTGCGCTCCGCTAGCACTAAACCGAAAACGGGGACTGCAACGATAGAGAATTACAGTTAAGAAGGAGTTGTACGAAAGGGGACGTAAAAACTCATTCTGTATTCAGACAGGAATGAGAATGCTAAGTACTTCATAAGTTTATACTAATTACTAGAAATAATCCAGTGGAGTTGAATAACAAATTCAAAGTTAATATGAAAAAATATAAATAACGTCTACGCGATATAAAAATTATTTTAACTACGGCCCGACGTTTTGGATGCTTTGCAACAGCCGTGGTCCCGTAACCAACTCTAATATATATATTGCGTTTTATACCGTTGAAGTGTTTTTTTAATATGTCTCTAAATACTAATATTTATATACAACTTCTAAATACTGTCTTTCATTGTATTACTTTGATCAATCAACAACCCACTACTTCTCGATATCGTCTACTAGCTGTTCTTGCGACTGTTTGAAATAGTTATTTTAAGCATCATATTTATTTTATCAAGCAACCTCCTTTATAAATTACAGTTGTTACCCACCATGTCGCCCGCGTTCTGTCGTTCTTGCGAGTTGATCTTAAAAGTATACGGTCTTTATATCGGTCTTTCATTTTTTTTGGGTATCTTGGACCGTTTTAGGATGCGCACGTAACGGAAGCCCTCAAAGATGAATAACTTTCCCTGTTTTGTCCACATTCCCCTCTGTATCTTCGCTCCTATTGTTAGTGAAGTTTTATACCCCATAGCCTTCCTCGAAATCAAACTTAGAAGAATTCGAACCAGAAGTTTCTGAGATTATGAGATTAGCGCCATCAAACAATTCTTCAATTGCAATATATATATAACTTCAACTTTTGAAATTCTTATATAACCCTGGCAATAAATAATTCATTTTATCCATCGCTTATATAATTTCAGTAAGTAGATTCACAAGTCTAAGGGAGGTTATATGTATAAAAATCTTACTCGGCGCAGCTGAAAGTTTTTATTGAAAAACTTGAAATGCTGATGAAAATGGACGGGACTGTAAGGTACGGTAAAGGGCCGTTCCACTTAATGTTATGAACATTCAAATGTAGGAAAGTTAAATAATATTGAAGTTACTGGTGATGGGAAATGAAATATTTTAGTTTCTAATAGACACATGATATAAAACACAGTTTAAAAATAATTAACTCTGTATAGGTTAATTTCTTTTTTATGCCGTCTCTTCTGTGCCTTTCCTTACCTTTTGGTCATTGTACTTTGATTAATTGTACCTATGATATGTCTATGGGATAAATAACATTAATAGTGGATTTGTTTTTTTTTATGGTATGTGAAATATCGCATATAATATTTAAACAAGATGCGATGTCGTTTTTTTTTTACTTTGGATATTCGAAAATCCAAAAAGTGACACCGAGCTGCGATTAAATTTAACGGGTTAAATTTTACCCGAACGGAATTTCGATATTCCTACCACCATTTTAATGTCTAGACTCTCAAACGCAGCCTAATATGCTTCAAAAAATGTGGGCATTGAATTCATCCGACGGCCCGTTAATTATTATTTGCCATACAGTGTGACCATTACACCACCGAAGCCGTCAAAAAAATTTAATTTTAATCTACTGGTTTTTAGAAAGTAACTAAGGTAAATTTTTTTAACTATAAAACTAATATAATAAGCTCAGCTGACTATTGTATATGAGTTAAGACGTTACTCACTACATTTTCATTTTTAAAAAGCACTTTCAAGCGCGCTTCTCTAATTATGTAAGAGGGAACGTCTTGTCATAATTAAGTTATTTAAGATTAAAGACAAGAGAAATGGAATGGGTACCGGGTAACTGTAATGTTCCGAGGTCCGCTCTCGGGAATAGACCAAATGAGTAATTGATAAAGGGAGCCCTAATTTCACCTAATCACGGTCAGGTCGGGTTAAACAATTTATTATAAGTGTGGCTTTGTGTTTCTGAGAACCACTTAAAAGTATGTGAGTTTGTTTACTGAACAGCGCTTTAAACGTAATTCATGAACAGAAGAAGGAGCGATAGGCCAAACGGGAGAACTACTCGTAAATGTCCACCCTATGTAAAAACTAATAGGACGTCTACGATTCCACAGAGCACAACATAAACTGACGTCCAAAAAGAGCGATTATAAATTCGATTTTAATTAAGAGTTAATGATAAAATAAGGTAATGTAACAAATCAAAATGGTCAGTAATTAATCTTCTTGGCAATAAACGTTGTCTACTGCCTTTGAACACAATTATCTTGTCTTTTTTGTACCATAAATAACTCACATAATTTTGTAAATTAGGCAGCGCTATTTCGCCGACGACTGTTTAGAAGTTCGAGTAATTTATAGCACACACATGTAGTACTCGTGATGTGACTCACATCTATGCCGAAAACAATAATATTAGATATTTGTAAACATAAAGCAAGGATTTCCTTTCGCGTGCTTACAAACATAAAAGTTTTCATGCGTTGCGAACGAAAACATAAATTAGGTGAATTTATTTCGTTTTTATAAAGCATCCCCTTCATTACAATATGTTCGTAACGACGAGGGGTCACCGCGTAGACAAATCTCCCCTTTGCAGTATTGAATCCACAAAATTATCGAAACTTTTTAACTTACAACTTTTCTATAAGCGTGTAAACCGTACGGGACTTCTCATTCGTCGAAGCTTTGGAGAGCTTTCGATGCTCCCTCCTTGTCTAACTCGAAGGATCCACGTCGGAAGTTACGGTTGTTGTCTCCAGCGAGTTGATAGCGTAGTTACGAGGCACTCAGTTTCATAGCTAGCCTGTTTCAGTTCTCGTTATCGTGATGTCGGGGGAGAACGTGTTTCACTCCGCGCACGTACAGTACGCGTTCTCGATCGCGAAGTAACTCTACAAACTAAATAAGTGAAGTAAACTTCTTAGTGCGAAAGACTGCGCGAAAATAAACTGAATTTGGAACGGACGTACAGTAAAATGATTTCGATTTACGTGTAATCTAGCAGATACCTATAAGATTTCAGTTTGTTGATTCAAGGCATACAATAAGTAAGTTCGCCGGGTTAGCTTGTGTTTGAGTGCAGGTGAATGTGCCCCGGCGGGTGATTCCGGGATGGCCTGTGGTCAGAGACAATGGCTAGCGGGGCTTATATGGGCCGCGCTTGGCTCCGTTTTGGCGGACTCGTGGACGACCTATCAGGAGCAACCGTGCTGTCGCCCCGTTTCTCATCATCGCGTCCGCCATCATAGAGGTTTGTTATTGTTTAAAGAAAAACGATTAAAGCTGTTATATGTATATATTATAGGAAAATATAGATTCTTAAATTATATCATTACTTACTGTAATCATGACGAGTATACTTACTATGTCGTGTAATAGGTATATAAGTACAATACCCATTTACTGAGTGCAAAGTACATTTTATTAGTAGTACAGTTATTTATTTTACCAAAATGCAATACATTACAGGCTTGAACTGTCAAATTTATCTGAAAATATATGCGCAGGCAATGCGGTTTAATCCGGTGAAGTTATTTATATCATTTATTTTATTGGTGTCATTTAATTCTGAACGTATTTACACCATAACTGGTTTTTTTTATTTCAACGGTTCGATCCCCAGCTGATTCAAGATGTTTCAAATGAATTTATATTTTTTTCCGAAATGTTGGACTTTGGAAATCGGAATATTAAATGGGTGGTAGAAATATAAAAAAATGCTTCCGGAATAACGTTTCGGTTTCAGTCTTCGGACAAACGAATATCCAATGCCAAAATAGATCGACAGTGCATGTCGTTGAGATGTAAAGTAGGTACCTCTATGGTTAGTAATTCACCTACCATCAAATGAACCTTTTGCTATCTGTCACACGAAATAAGTAACCATACAAGTTAGAAAGTAATTATTTAATAGGTATATGACAAAATTATGTTCTACATCCATATGACGTACAGAGTTAATAAAGGCTTTAATCTTCTTAGTTGAACACGAAGGCACTATATAATTTAAAAATCGAAAATAAATTGAAAAATTCTTCGACTCAGGCAGGACTTGAACCGGCATCGTCAGCGTTCCGTGCTATTGCTCTCGGAACGTTAAATCGTATAACATTATCCAAATTGTAAGATTCTTTTAAATTTTTATTAGGTTGCAAAATTTTACACTGTATTGTATCAAGTTCCATATCAAGTACTTGATACACATGATAACACAAGTTATCTCGTCCCAATATTTGATTTACCTAACAATTTGACAGCCATTTGATGATTCATGACTCAAAAATCAATGCTAAATTCTTTCGTTAACTCCAGTATTAGCATAATGCAATATTTCTCGGTATGCATTACAACCGATACCGCACAAGAGAATTGTTTTGAGAAAACATTTGCAACGTAAGACTGAATAAGCAATTTCAATGTATGAGGGTCTCGGTGGAAGTAATAATTTCGCGATTTCTTTTCATTGGTGGCGTTTCGCAAGGGAAGAATTGATTACTCGTTGTACTTACATGATACAAAGCGTGATATTATTGTAACACCATTTGGGAAATATTTTTCGAATTGCTCTCAAACGTCGGTGTATTAGAGTTAAATATGAGAACACTTTAACGGTTTAAAACGCGATATATACATACACGTTTCAGATGCTTTGCAGTTTGCAGCAGCCGTGGTCACGGGGAGACTGCTGCAAAGCATCCGGAACGTCGGGTCATAGTTAAAATACACATATTTAAATTGTGTATTTTTATGTATAATAGCTTAACTAGTATATATCGCGTTTTAAACTGTTTATACGTTTTATTTAACATTACGTTTGTATTTAAGGTAACTGTCTGTATCCTACCCGCATAAACGGGTATAGGATACAGACAGTATTGAGAATAAAATGTCGTTTGGCGTAAATTGGATATTTCATTAAAATTAAAATATTATGAATATCGCATGCCATTCTAGGACAGATTAAATTTTCACCATTAAGCGCATTTCCATGTCAGTATAATATTTAATTTAAGGTGGGGAATGCCTGGAGCCAAATTCTTCTCGGACGCCCATAAGCGAAATGAGGACAATTTGCAATCATTAGCGAGAAACAGGCATTCTTTACATTGACACGTCCACACAAATGGTGCTTAGCGCCTATACAAGATTATTCGTCTTTTTATAGTCGTAGCTCGTAGATGCACGTAGCGTAGTATTTTTTTTTTATTCCTAATGTTTCAATTCACTACGGCGTTGACCATACCCAAATCTAATGTAAGTAATGGTTGAAAATTTACATCCGTTATTGTATTTGTTTCTCAAAGCATTATTATGTACTAGCTGTGTTAGTGACTTCGTCCGCGTAGAATAGTTGTTTTATAAATTGAAGCCGTTACCCACGACGTTGGTCGTGGTCCCGTCGTTCTTGCAAGTTAACGATGACATACTGTCGCGGAGGTTTTTATATAATTTAAAGAGGAATCATCCTTCCAATCATTTTTTTCAGGTATCTTGAACCGTTTTCGCAGCGTACGCATCAGAAACTTATAAAGATATTAATTTTCCCCGTTTTTTTTTCACTTTTTCCGCTGATTCTTCGCTCCAATTTGTCACAGCGCAATGTTTTTACCTAATAACCTTCCTCGATAAATACTCTCATCAACACAAAAATAATTTTTCAATTCGAACCAGTAGTTTTTGAGATTACCGCGTTCTAACAAACAAACTATCTAAAAAAAGTTTAATTATCATCCGCTTTCATCAAGTATCAGCTATCTATTAACCAGCTTGCGTATTTATAAGAAATTAAAACAGACAGACACAAACACATACAGACCTAAATTTAGATATCCATGCTATTATGTTAGTTAAACGCCGGCTGTTTCTTATAACAAAGGACCCGCCGAGGTGATTCGCAAGAAGTCATTGTAAGCAAAAAAGTTTGAATAAGCGATCGGTTCCAGTTGTCTGCCGGGGCGTGTGGGGGGGGGGGTAGGATCACTGTAAACCGGCTTGCGTGCGTTCGCGCAGGTAATCGACTCGCCCGCGCGCGACTCAACTAAATTGAGCCATAAAGTAACTTTAATCGAACTATTAAACAAGTTTCATAGTTTATTATAATGTCGGTGCTACATCATTTCATCGGAATTTCCATAATGGTTTTGGAACTTAACGCCGCCTATTTGCATATTATGGGTATACATTTTTATTTATTGTTATTTCTTTTATAGTTCATTTGGAGTTTCATTTGATTCATTTGAATTTTATGTGCATTTATTGATCGAATTTTCTCTTACATTTAAAGTTTAAAGTTATTCTATAATATTAATATATATTTATTATATTACTAATCCGGAATCTCTGTTATTGTTTCTTGTGTACATTATACAAACATGATTATAATTTTACTAATATTTGCATAGAAAAAGTAAATCATTACATTAGGAATACATTTTATTATTTTATCTATTACAAAAGTGTCTTAAAATAATAACTAAATTAAGTTACATAACAAACAACAAACATACAATTTAATAACACGAATAAGAGGTGATTATTCGAGAACCTAGCAATCAAAATTATACAAACTGTATACCCTTTTACTCTCAATCATCATTGTAAATCTCCATCTACAAGTTGCCTGAAAGAAACCGCTTCTTAGCAATTAGGCGCCCTTTCTCGCTGCGTATAACTAATATAAACCCTTACTATCAATAATTATTATAAATCTCCCCATGTAGCGTACATAACTCTGCTGCGGTTTTGTTAATGAGGCGAATACTGGGGCTAAAAGCTATAAATCTAATTGTTTAATCTAGCCTAGCGTGAGTATAGTGGTCCTCATATGTCAGAAGTCATCAGGGCGTAGGGCGGGTGGCTGATTAGCGCGTGTCACCAGCAACTGCGAGACAGGCTAATCGTCAGCTTATAATGACACTGCTAACGTGTTTCGATTGAAATTAAATTATAATTAATTTTATAAAGGTTTTAGTTAATTTGTAGTGAAATTTAAGTAAAGTACTTACTCTAACAGGTTTTACTAATTATTATTATTGTTTGCTAATAATACAACTGGCACGTCATTGTGTCAAAATAATGATTATTAATACTAGCGTCTTGTTCATTATACTTTAATTTATTTTAAAATATTAAAAACCTTTTTAACGGTTTAAAACGCGAAACATATTAGTTCACGAAAAAACGACACCCAGAGGTACGAGACGACATCGTGAAGTAATTACGGCACGGTCCATGTCCCCCCTTGACCACCATTGCTGTAAAATTAAGTAATTTTATTAAATTATCAAAAGATTTTTTTATAATTTAATAAATATATTTTACGTTTAAACCGCTAATAGTGTTTTATTTAACACGCACCCTATTTAAGTCCGTGTTCAGTAGTACCGAAGATATCTATTCAAATTTACGTGTGTCTAATAAGAACTGTTTCAAAACATAATCCCATTGTATTATTACGAAATTTCTTTAGAGCCGAAGAATAACAATACCTACTAGAGAAATTATCCCGTTACAAAGCGTGTGGTCGATTTGGTTGTGTATTATGTTGTGTTAAGATGCTGTAAAGCAATCGTTCTGACAATTCAATTGATCTTATCAGTCTTTAATTTAAGACGATTTAATGCTAGACTCTTTACAATACTGTAATACGTGGGCGTCCGTATTACGACCACAAATCACTCTCCTAGTAACTTAACGCTTGGCAATGTACTTATCAGGCGAACGGTAAGACAATCTTGCAAAAAAGAAAGAAAAAAAGGTGATCCAGAATCTCCGTTGTTAAAAAAAACAAGGTGTGAGAATGTGGCATGAATTTGGGCATCAGTCTTAAATTGTTTTTATAACTGGCTGTGTCAGCGATTTCGTCCGCGTTGCAACCCGCAACCTCTTCCTTATATTTATGATTTTAAGCTGTTTCTCACGACGTCGGTCGCGTCCCATCTTTCTTGCAAGTTAATGTCATCATTTAAAGAGGAATGGTTCTTTTATACACATTATTGGGTATCTTGAACTGTATTCGCAGCGTACGCACGGGAAACGCACAAAGATTACCTTTTTCCCGTGTTTTATTCCACATTTTTCGCTCCTGTAAGTCGCCGCGCGATTCCTTATAGCCTTCCCCGATAAATGCTCTAACCAATAAAAATATAGTTTTTCAAATCGAACCGGTGGTTCCTGATTAACGCTTTCAAACTCATCAGCTTTCTATATTAGTATAGATTGTAAATATGTGTGGATTGTAATTATTGCCTT